AGGGACAAACATTCTTGTAGTTATGTAATTCAGAATTGTTCAGCACAATAAATTGTATAGATCAGAACAAATGGCATGATATTTCTATATTTTTTTCTAAAATCTAGTAATCTTCATGTGTTGGAGCATATTAATTAATACAAATGTTAATTCTTTGCAATCACAACTATCTTATAAAATTTATTAGCACTTTATTATTATAATGGAATTGGAATTGGAATATGATGTAAAACAATTTACCTTGGCTAGGAATTCATAGAAGTGTTTGTGTCCATTTGGGTGTGTGCGCAGAGTCAGAAGCAGCACAGCTTCTCGTCTGCAGTGAGCTCTCGCGGCGTGGCCCACTACACCACCTCTCAGCTCCAGAGTGCGGTGGCGGCCGCGGCGCTGGGCGGCAGGGCAGGTAAGCATGCGGCTGCAGGACGCCCGCTGCAGCAGGGGGCAAAGGTCAGCGCCAGCAGCAGTAACCAGGGAAACGTGACTGGCTGGAGGAAGAGTACTGGCTCCACAGGTAGATAAAGTCAGATGAGGTTAGAGGGACATAGTGCGCTCTTCTCCTCTTTGGGCTCCTCATCCCACTGTAAGATCCTGTCACTTCTGCTTCTCTCATTCCTCCAACATCTGTTCACTGTAGTTTCAGCATTGGTTTTTCCTCTTTCTCTTAAAGAATCAGGGTATTTCTCATGGGCTCTCATTCTCTTCTTTCCTTTACACAAATCAGGCATAACATTATGACTGGCATAAACAAATTACTCAAATTTCAACTGTATAAACTACAGTCTGTGGTCTATTTGATCCGAGTATGGCTGGATTTTGATCCACATATAAGTGTCATTCAGTAATAATGATGTCATACCTGATCTGTGCTATTCCTATTTTTAATGAAAATATAAAGTCCTAAATCCTGTTCTCCTTTAAGCAGATTCTTGGTTCTTATCATGTTTCTCTTCTCATAGGAGTGACCATGGCCTATGTAAATCCTAGTTTATCGGCCCACAAGGCCTCCTCTGCTGTGGAGCGTCAGCGCGAGTATCTTCTGGACATGATCCCCTCACGGTCCATCTCGCAAGCAGCCAACACATGGAAATAATGCAACCCCCAACCCCCTCCTCCCAAAACCACACCCCTCATGTCAATAACAGCCAATGTCTTCAATTGTGCAGTAGATTTGGCCCTGAGATGTGCATGGGCAAACCACTGTTCCTCAAGATGTTCCTTAAACTCTCTTCCTCTTCTGTTCTTAATCCCAATATGGCTTCAACAACTGGAGTTTATGGGGTATAAGGAAGTATGTCAAATAGTACCTGTGGGGTTGTGACGTAAAATTGGACTGCCTCCTCTTTTGGTGTTGTGATTGAGCAATCCTTGTACACCTATAGAGGAGAGTGCTTCTCCTGATGTCCACTGCCTCTGGATAAGGCAGGAAAAGAAAGCAAATAACTATTATATACAATGAATAAGAACGCCTTACGTCCAACTCCTTCAGTCTGTGGTCGAAAGACTGAATTTACTGAAGACCTCAACACCAGGGATTGTGGCTGAACTTTGAGCCCCATCTACAATAATTCAGCTTTGCAAAGGTGAATCCAGTGAAAAGACGTGTAATATCCTGGTGCACATTGACTGCTGTGTCTCTATGAGCCCCAGTGCACCTAGTAAAGACACTTTGGATTATTTTGTATGGCTGAATGTTAGGACTTTGTCTCTTCTTCTGTAAGTCAAATAGTGTTTGGAATATTGTGCTCCCTGATACTTTGGAAGAGGATTCTTGTCAAGGTCTGAATTTCCAGGCTAAATGTTACTGTTGAGGTGGTTTTACATCTGAGGGTTCAAAGTAGTGGCCTACTTTTAAATACTTTGTTTTTTCTAAGATGAAGAGAAATAATAAAATTGTGGTTTCACTGACTAATGTTAAAAAAAAAAAAAAAAAAAAAAAAAAGGATGGCATAGGTTTTGGAGGACTATTCTTGGTGAATATTGTTAAAACCTTCCAAAGAACTAGTGGAGCCCAAATGGAATCCCTTCTGCTAGAAGGTTTCTGGTTTGTTTGAACCCTCTGGTGATATAAACATGAATTCATGCTGAACTGAGAGGGTGTATGGAATGTCATATTTTTGACATTTGTTTTGCTTTTAGTAAATAGGTTGTGGTGCATTTTTTTCTTTAGACAAACTGTCTGGGTTTATTTATAGGGTCATGTTAGTAAAGATTTATGCTTCTGCCCTGAGTTTGAAAAAAAATCTCCACTTAAAATATTTGTCCTACACCTGACAATTGGTCCGAGAGGAGCTGGACAGCTTTCAGAATGTAGTTATGCAAATCCCCTATAGCAATGATGACCTGAACTTCTTAGTCTTTAACATTATGGTGTGTATAATTTCCTTATTTTTTGTCAGGTCCTTGAATTGAGCTAACTATGCCTTTCACATGAGCTATAGTCCATTTTATCAGGTCGCAGCAGCACAGGATAAGCTAGTGAGTACATTGTGTCCTACTTCAAAATGGGAAATCTCCCATTGCTCATGGCATTTTCTTGTTCATTTAGTCACTGGGACGGCAACGCTTTAACTAATGTAAACCAACTTAATGTGTGTATGAAATTTGGATTGTGCAAGCAATATACTGTTCCCAATAATGCAAAATCAATGTTGAGCTTGCCGCACCCAGTAGATTTAGTCTATTTCTGTCCATTCAACAGCTCTTCATTGAATTAGTAGATTCTTTTTGACTCCATATTAAGTTTTTATTCCTTTTTGACATAACATACACAGTACCATAAACTCAGTGTTCTTTGTGGGGTGGAAAGATAATCAATGCAAGTGTAAAAGTCATTGCAATATCTTTTGAAAATGATGCCTTCTTTTGGGTGGCCATTGGAAAAGGTAATAAAAGTAGACTGGATTTAACCAATAAAATCTTCTGTGAATTCCAGAATGACTGTACATTCCAGACAGGTGGAAGGTAAAGAAAGATTCAAACTCATTTAATTTTCCTTACAGTTCTTAATCAATGCTTTCATTATGTGTCACTCTGTGCTGTCCGGAGTACTGCCTGTTGCTGCTGCTGTTTGGCAACAATATCACCATTCCGTTTATTTGGGGTCACTCCCAGATGGAAAAAACAACAACATTGTATTACAAATTTGTTTGTTTTTGGTTTTTCTGCTCTATCAAATAATAAAGTAATTTTAACCCCACAAGTGTCAATTTTTTTAAAATATAGAACCGATCTCTACGCCTTATACATGATGCCCACTGATGAGTTGAAATGTAGACCATATTCAGTGCTTTAAGCATTTAGTTTTCTGGCACTTTTATATATTATTAATTATACCTTCATGCGGTCATTATCTGATGGGTGTGACTTTTGACTGGAAGTTTACCTTATAGAGATAAATCATAAATCAAATAGACCAATTATGTATGAGTACACCTACTTTTGTAGAAGGCTTTTTTCACGATTTAAAAAAAAAAAAAAATCATCTTATTTTAAGGGTAGGTAAGCACTCTTAATTTGTTGCACTTTTTTTTTTACGCTCAATGTAAATCTCTTGTTATTGCCGACTTCTATCTCTAGATGGCGCCGGTAGTTCATGATCAATGCATGTCTGGTACTCTTCAAGTGGTAAATAAAGAAGACTGCCTAGTGCTAGGAGGAAACCCCCCGTAAATGCGCCGTATATGTAGTTTTACCTTCATGTGTAACATCTGAACAAAATTTGTAGTCTCTAAATTTTCAGAGGCCAATGACGGAAAGATTTTATTTTTTATTTTTTGCAGAATCAAGGCTGTTGTTTACCACCATGTTGACCCAGATATGTCCTCATTATACCTCAGGTAAATCTGTGTAATCTGTGTCCATTTAGCCAGCCATACTGATTAACCGACCACAATGATTTCGACACTTTGTATGTTGGTCAGTTTTATGTTACTTGGTAACTCTGTTTTTCGTTTGCTTTAGCTGACCTAGATCCATAAGAAATATTTGATGCAATCAAAGTCTATGGGGGTTATTGAAGTTCTCCACATAGCCAACCAGCATTATTTTCAACTGTGCAAAGGTAATTGGCTGTTTTTCTACACAGCAATGCGCATGATTTATTTCTCTCTAATCAGTGTGCAATGTAAAATCTGGGCTGCTGTTTTTTCTTCTTTCCAAGGGTTCATATACCTCATCAGAGGTCTTTCACCACCAAGGACATTTATAAGTGTATGCCTATGTGCACTGGTGTGAATAAAGGAAAGAGAAGTGTGGGAGATTGTGGCGGAGGGTGTACCTCGGATGCAACCATTTTTGCAGCCCTCAGCCAATCAGGCGGCAAGCAGCAAGCATCCGCCTTTATAATTGGCTGACTTTCCCGGTGAGCACAGCTGATACAGAAAACCATCTGGTCTTATCATAGACAGTGCCAGGTCCACAGTGGGGTACACTTGTATAGAGGTGTAGAATAGGCAAATAGGCTTCCATTTGTTTTATAGCCTCTGAGGCAGGCTGTAATTACTCTAAAGCCTTTCAGTCATTCATGTGCTTAAGAAAAGAATAGAGGGAGGCTTTCAGATTCCCAAAGACTCACTGTGTGTTTATTGAATCAGGGAGAAGGAAGTCTCTCTCTCGTTCGGAGCGCATCCCTGCCTTGACTGTGTTTGACGTGCGTTTTGGTTGTGCTGGGTGAAAACAGATGGACAAGATGAACCACAGCTCAGCAGAGGCAGAAGTGGAGACCATAGAGCCGCTGCGATACCTCAGGTAGGAGCCAGCATCCTCTCTCACTCCCCTCTGATGTGTTTGCACTTGTTTCAGTTCTCTTGATGAATATGGTGGTTGTACTCTGTAGTAGAAACCAAGGCAGTGGTATTCAGATGTGCAATATCTTCATAATGGTATTTGACTTGCAAGGATGTGCTTTTCCAGCCCTTCATACCTGAGTCCTCTCTGTGAAAAAATTGAGATTGAAATAACTTACTTACTTCATATTCATTAAGTCTTGTTGTCAGCTCTTTCAGATGTTTTTAATGTGGCAAAATACCTATATATTGTGGGATATTAGCATGGGACATTTTCTATAGTGTCAATTAAGGTGCATTTAAGTTCCTGTTAAAATTAATTCTTTCAGCTAGTAAACATAATGGTTGAGACTTGGGAGAGTTGTATTGTTTGATTGCTCATTTGAATATTTATTTGGCCTATCAATTGTTAATGGTTCATTTGTCTCAGGCTATTAAGTTTAAAACATTTTTTTACCAGTACTAAACTAAGGACTAGATCACAACTTGGGCAGACCACTGTCAGACTAATTTCACATTCTTCTATGGCAATAGTGAAACAAACATTGACAGATCTGTATTGTTTTGCATTATTTCATTAATTGTGATGAGTATTATAGCATGATTCACTCTGCAGCCTCAAACCAGAACTTTTACCGTGTATAGTTTGTAAATGTTGCGTAACTATTATGCATAAGAGTGTATTCCAGCATACCTGGTTCTGTTTGCTAGATCCTATAATGCCTGGCGTGACTTCCCCTAATGCATCTTTCCTCTACGCTGGAGGCCCAAATTTAATCAGAATTATGCTCCTTATTGAATTAGGCGGCCCATGTTTAATTTGGCGCCCTAAAGCCCCAAGTTGTTATTTAAACTCAACTTTATCTGATTTAATTTGGCCTGTATTCGATATGTAATCAGTTTGTTCTGCAGTCAGATGTTGAGCCTAGGGCCTGTATTCCAACTCTGTATGTGGAAATCCTAGTGTGTCCTGATTTGCATAAAGCGCAGGTAGGCAGCTTTCCGAAATAAGCCATGCAGTCGAGTAATTCTATTAGCATCTGCTTTGAATCCCTAGCTGTATGTTAAGATTATGTGATATATGTTAAATGATGTGCTGTGCTTAATAGGAAAAAAAGTAACTCATCTGAAAAAGTTGGGACAACACACTGTCTCCTTTACAGTATCAGAGGCAACACATGTACAGCTCAAAAGATATAAAAAGACATTCTGGACTTTGGTCCCTCCAGGGTGTCCCCGAGCTTCCTCCAAGTAGAACATGCCCAGAACACCTCTCAGGGAGATACCAAGGAGGCATCCAAAACTAAGATCTTTACTCTCAGAAAATCCAGCTTCATGTTTACATCCTACTGTATTCTGTTGACATATCCACCTGCTGAAATGTTAAAGGTTTCTATCTTAACCATAACTGTACATATATAATAGGTTGAGAAATTGAGAGGCTCAGTCTCACAGCAGCTATCTCAAGAAATCATCTTTCTTAAGTTTTCTCTATAAATAGTTTGATGAATGAAATATGGCCATTGAATAGCCCTGAATATAATAATGCATTGGATTTATATAGCACTATTCAAAGCATTTTCCATTATAGTATTTCATTTCACACTGCTGTGGAACAAATAACCTGGTAATCCCAGTGATCTCTCGTCCAAATTCTAACCAGACCCAGCCATGCTTAGCTTCCGAGATGTTACGAGTTCAGCCACACAATATTTACTAATCCTAACCTATTTCTACAGTTTGCAGGCGCTACTTTTATACAGATGTTGGCACATATTGAGTTCCTTCTTAATGAATCCCCCACTGATGTCTGTCATATTTTTCTAGAATAAAGAGATGTGTTATTGAAGAAATAATGTGCTAGATGTAGCTGGTGTGGTTAAATTTTAATTGAATATTTATACATACACACTGTACTTTAATAATTTCTTAGTTTCTTTGTAGACAATGAATGCTTCCAACTAAGTGCATAGTCTCTATATCATCCTGTCCGTCAGCCGTTGCACCTATACATTAAGTCTATTCTCAGAGCTCTTTTTAGTGCTCCCTGGTCATGTACAGTGTATAATTACCTCCTTCCCACTGGCTGCATTTGCTTTGGGAAGTGTCGATGTGTGAAGCTGTTGGCAGATTAACTACCACACAAGAGACTTTGCCCCACTCTTCTCCTCTCTCCTGCACTCATCTCTTCTGTCTGTGATGGGAGAGGTTTGGCAGTGGATCTAAACAGTCAATTAGGCCTCCCAGTTACATTTACTGGAACCACTGGGTGCACACAACAACCATTGCTCATATACTGTGCTGTCGGTCTTAGTATATTTGGTATTGTAGAATATCAGCAATACATGTGCCATCATATTTGAACTATAGTCTGCCTCTCTCACTATTGTGATGTATTGTGTGTTGGAACACTTGTTTTTAATGGACAATTGACCTCTCCATTAAAAAGACTCATCCATAACATTGATGTAGTGAATTTCAATCAATCAATCTTGCAGAGCCTAAATGAAGACACTTACATTTATGCTACTTGAGATTTGATTAGTGTTATGATATTAAAATAACTAAACTTGCACTATTAAAAGTCTTTCTACTATTCTAGTCAAATTTATTGCCAAAAGCCCTTTGAAGAACGCATACCACATACTTTGGTAGGGGGTAATATTAGCTCCCTGTGATAAATCTATCCTGTGACTTAATATAATTATAGAGAAATGCAGACTAATGTGTTTGCCCGAGGCTAGAAGAAAGCCATTAGGTTCTGGTCTAAGATTCACCCTGCTGTTTTTATCAGATAATGGTCATAGCTGTGTTGATCAAAACTTATTCAGAGCAAATTGTTTGGTTTGATTTAACTTTGAACAACACAGAAGTCGAAGGATTCACTATGAAGGTTGCAAAGAAATAGAAAGAGAAAGAAAAATGACTCCCACGCACATTGGTTTCTGTGAGGCCCGAGGGTTTGCCGTTTTTTTGACAATTATTGACAAATATGAATCAGAGAGAGAGAGAGATTTTCTTTGCTTTAATATGAAGGACAAGAGGTGTGAACTCCTGTAACCATTTGTAATACCTCTATATTATAATATACTACTGTATTTACCAGCTGTTTTATACTTATCTTGGATTCAGTTTTTAGTTGATTAACACTAATGTGAAATTTTTTTTAAAAAAGTATATATGGTCAAATGTTCATTCTTTTCTATATTTGATCTTTACTATTTGCATGCTGATGAGATGTTACTTTTGAAGTGCTTTACATTGCATTAGTCACACACAAGCTTACATGCACACATACACATCACATTCAGACAGGCAAGGTAGGTAAAGTGTCTTGCTAAGGACACAGCAACAGTAAATGCACTGCTAGAACACATACATTGATAAGGATAAGAATAAGAATAGACCTAAAACATCCACAAAAAGACAAACAATCCTTACATTTCCTCAATTTAAGCCTTCAAATGTTGATAAACCTTTCTATAATACAGCTTTTAATGGATTGTAAAGGTAGTCACACCCCAATTCCCCGAGTGTCAAACTGAAGATATGAAATTGGATAACTGATACTCCCAGTAAGATCAGGTAATGTCTCTTCAGGTCATCCTCCCTCTGACAACGATGAATTCCGTGGCCTCGCTGAACACCTGAGCCCACCTGAGCCCACTTGTATCCACATATTTCTGCCTCTTTACTGTCTGTCACTCTAACTCCTGCCCATCCTCTTCCACCAAACTGTTGTGCTCACTCTGTAACTTTTCCTTTACCACCCCCAGACTTTTCTCTCTAAAGATTTGTGCTTATCAATCAGTCATCAGTAAGAGCCCTTTACAACACTCTAAATTAAAAGAGAGCAATATAAAAGCCTATCGAACAAGTTATTAATTGTGTGTCTTTTACTTTCCTATCTCATTTAGTGGGTTGTATTTACATGATATATAAATTCTTGGACTCAAATACAGCCTTGACATGATTTATAAACGATTATTGTTTGGTCATATTTCTCCTCCTCCAATAAAGTCAGATTTAAGAGTACTTGAGCGAGCCCGTCTGGTGAAGGAGGGATGGAGGATACAGAGAGGAGGATAAGGAGCATGGCTGTGGCTTTGAATTAGAGGATCGACATTTGGGGGGTTGTAAGAAAATAAAATGGCCTCAGTTAAACCTCTCTGAGTGCCGAAATAGCTACTGTGAGAATAAAAGGTTACATCAACAAAAATAATGTGGCTTCATGGAATAAGTAAAATATCTTAATTTGATTGGACATTTCTCTGAAAGTTCTGTAGAATTAAAATTTAAAAGGCAGGGAAGTTTAGTTTATAAAGGTTTCAACAAGTTTCCCCTATGATAGACCAGACCTTTCCTAGTACTGTATATCATGGCTTCAGCCTCCTGCAATTTGTGACAGGTAGATTTTAGATATCCTCTCTTACATTTCTCTGAAATAGCATTTTCTGTTTACTTAAAAGGATTTTCTACTGGCCCTGTAACAGCAAAGATAAAAAGTAGACCTTTTTTTTTTTTTTTTTTGAAACTTAGCTGCCTCTGCTCTGCTTAAATTAGCCAAAAACTGCAAATGAATGTCACATTAGCACAAGTTGATCAGAGTGTGGAGAGCAAAGGTCAGGTCCACTTTGCTGCAGATTGAAGTGACAGAACGCATTAGGGTTGTTTATATTCACTACTACAAAGGTGACATTCATATAAATGTGAAATGTATTATTCAGTTTTCTTCTTCCTTGGAAAGTGTCCTTGGGTTTTCTACACCTCATTTTGCTCCATTTCTCTTTGCTTTTCATCAGGTTTTTCAAACAGTCATCTTCAGCCCCTATTTTAAGCTCATAGGAGGTGTGAGTGGAGACTGAGAGATGTACTATGGTCTCTATTATAATGCACTAGATACAGTCACATGCTATGTTTGTACATACCTGTTTATACCTCCTTTTTATACCCTCCAGACTC